TATTGCCTAGTGTCAAGCAATGGCCGCCGGTGGACACACCGACGGGCTCCCGATCCGCGATCTAGCCTACTACAATAAAAATCAGCACGCAAGGTGCGTCGACGCATGTGGCACGTGCAACGTGCAGCCATTGGGAAGATCAAGGCGGCACAGCGCATCACTGAGCTGACGCCATGTTCTTCCCAGAAGTGGCGCGCGGCACGAGTCTCGAGCATTTCCACAACAATGAATGGCGCCTCTTTTCCCAGGATAGAGGGGATTTATCCCTGGTAGATGGCGACAACTCTCTCGCGCGCGTCATTTCTAGCTAATTTTAGCATCATCTCTCTGCTTACCGTAACAAATTGGGGACAGAAAATGGACCGGAGCGTGGCCAGATCCATACGCTGAAGACGAGAGAGATAGGGTGTTTCATTTTTTTTATTCTCGTTCACTCTAAAAACATGCACATATATAATAGACGTACGGCGTTTAATTTTTTTTCCTCGGATGTGTCTTGAAAATGTTTGTGTTGTACATTCTTCTGTAAAGTGTTTTCAACGGTTTCTGTGTTGCGTAGAGCGAAAAACATAATTAAACGCCGTATTTGTTTTTATATATGTGCGTGTTTGTAAGCGAACGAAAATTAAAAAAAGAAAAAACACCACCAAATGAAACACAATATTTGTCTCGTCCTGAGCGTTAGGATGCCGCGACGCTACGTTTTTATTTTCTGTCCTCAATCTTCTACAGTCAGCAGAGAGATAATGCTAAAATTAGCTAGAGATGACGCGCGCGCGAGAGTTGTCGCCATCTGCCAGAGATTCAGGTGCGCGCCATCTAAAAACGGAATCGCCAACTCACTCGCACAAAGCCCGGACTTGAATTGCGCCCGAAAATACGGATGAGTTCGTCTTAGGAATACGAGCAATTTAACTTTTCAGCATAAGATGTCACAATATCACACACATGCCGCCAGATGTCGCTCATACTCTAAAAACAAAGACGCTTAGCAACAAAGACGCGCGCCATTTATGAACGCCCCTTGGTGTCATTCCATTCGAAAATGTCGTTTTCTGTTTTTATTTTTTCATGTACCAGAAAAACAGTTTCCCCGTTATCACAATTTCGTTTGCTACTTTCCCACAGCTGTTTGTGCTTTTGAAGCGTCACCCATGTATAATGGTGCTCAAGTGTTACTTTGCTACCTTTTAGTAATCCGCGTTTTTTTTTGGAAGATTATCCTTTTCATTGTATTCGAAGAACTTAACATTAACAGGCCGGCCCTCCTTTGTCTTTCGTCCAACCCGATGCAATAATTCAAAAGAGTTTGTGCGAATTCCGAGTTTTCTGCGAAGATACCTTCTAGTACCTTTGATTTAAGTATATCTGCCGTTTCACCGGCATCTTCGGGAACACCGAAAACCATAAGATTGTTGCGGCGGCTTCGGTCTTCTAAGTCAACCAACTTTCTTTGGCATTCAATGAGTTCGCTTTTTACTGACGTAACATTTTTTTCGAAACTCGTCATCTGATTTCTATGCTCTTTTGTTTCTTCGACTGTAACCTCGTTACTCGCTTGTTACTCGCTCAAAAAATAACGAAGTACGTTACTCGTTACCGATTCTCGAAAGTAACGCGTCACTTTACATAGAAAGTAGCGAGTTACTTTTCACGTTACTTTGACGACCAAATACACAACTGTTTTTGTCTCATGGTTTATTGTTTTCTTTTTAGTAGTCGTTGCACTTAGCAGTAGCTGCCTCTCGAAATTTTCATCAATTATGTTTCCCCGCTGCACAACACTGCCGATCGAAGGAACGGCAGTGTTGTGCATCAGCAAGAGCTGGTGGATCTGGGATTCCCCTCTTTCTTGTGTTCCCTCTACTTCGAAAGTTCGAAGTTGAAAATGGATTATGCGCCTTCCCGCGTTGGCGACCTCCGGGTTTACACTCGGTCCGTACTCGGTTCTAGAAGGTTCAACACACGAACCTTATTGCATTCGCTGGGTGAAGGGCATTCCCAGCTGTAGAGTTCCGTACAGCAACGTTTATCGCGGGACACGTCAGTCGAACTGCTCGACGGACGTGTTCAGCGATATACTTTGCTGTACTGTCATAATTTTGCGTTGTTTTTCGGGTTGCCCATCTACCGTTCTCGTAATAGGCGCATGCTCAGGTTAGAATAAAAACAAGGCCGTTTAAGTGGTGTTGTACACATTATTGCTCAAACGTAACGAGACACCGTTACTCGTTACTTGGCCTTAAAAGTAACTAAATATTTCACTGGTTCTTTTTCTAGAGAAGTAAGTGAGTACGTTACTCGTTACGAAACATGTTAACTGCCCTTAGTGAAAATTAAGACGTTTGAAATATACCACATTCTATGTTGAGTGTATTTCAAGTACAGTTCATATTTATAAGTACACAAATATATGTCGAAAATATACAATTCGTTTTTACTTAGTACAAAAATGTATTTTTAATTTTGTTTAAATACCTCTATTTAAACTACACTTAAACTACTTTTTGTACATTCTGACATGCGTAAAAACAAAATTAGTAGGCACAAAATAGCTTTCACATAGATATCTGAAAATATTGATTTATTTCATGCAAAATATACTCCAACCCTAATAAAAATGCAGCGATCAAAAATATGTCCAGAATACACTTAAACATTCTGGAAATCGTAAATACTGTTGCGCTATAATCTAAGTATCTTTTGACTGCAATCACATGCATACAAAATAAATTTACTTAAACAGCCAAAGTATTAAAAAATCGCCTCTCAGAAGTAAACTTTAAGGCGATGTGGAGTGCACTGGAGTGCCTAAATAAAACATTTATTTACTTTGTCAACTGAGTCGTGCAACATCGCACTGATAAACCAGCCCACTTTACGTTACTGTTTTCTTTTTAGAGCGCAGCTCTTAGGCGCCCGTTTCCGGCTTGAGCGCCGCTGCCGTCGGCGTCGGCGTCGCCGTTGGCGTCGCCGTCGGCGTAGCCGTGAGGTCACGTGACCGCCCCCAAGGTCATGTGACCCCCCCCCCCCCAAGGTCACGTGACCCCCGGCCACGTGACGACCCCCCCCCCCCCCCCCCGAGGTCACGTGAACCCCCCTCCCCCCGAGGACACGTGACCCCCCCCCCCCCCCCCCGAGGTCACGTGACCCCCTTGAGGAGGAGGGGGAGGAGGAGACGAGGGGAGAAGGTTGAAGGATGAGGAGAGGAGGAGAAGGTGAAGGAGAAGGAGGGGGAGGAGGAGTAGCAGGCAGGATCACGAAGTGAAGAGGAGGGAGGGAGGGTATACCCTCCCCTCAGTACCCGTCCCTCGTCCTCCTCAAGAGCTGTGCTCGAATTCGGTGTTACAGGGAGTTGTAAACGGCTTTCATTTTTCCGTCAAGAACGCACCTGATGAGTTTCTTGCACACCAATCACAAACGGGATTCGGGAACTACAATTACCGCACTTGCTGATGCTGCAAAGCTTCAGCAAGTGCTGTGTGCAGATATGTTTGGTGTGGTTGTGTTAGCACAATGTTAGTTAACTGGATGTGAATACTCACCATTGTACGTGATATGAGTAGTGGCTTTAATATAGTGAAATTTAATGACCATATTATGTAGTCGACTAATAAAGAAAAGCAAGATAACTCTTTTAAAGTGGAGAAACTGCCTTGACTCGCTTCGTTCTGAGTGGTGCTATGCAGAGAAGCGATAACATTTCTTCTAGGAGCCGTTTTTGTCGATGTTTCTATAGCGACTGCGACGAATTGTTATTAGATGCACAAATGATTTTTTATCAAGAGACATCGTCCACGAACTTCGAAACATTATTTTCCCTGTGAAAGAATACCGAGGAAAAGATCGAATATTTAGAACCTGAATGAGTACAGATGTGATCACCGCCCAAATAATTACCTTCAATATGTAGGCTATATAGGGCTCTGGACCAGCCAACAGGACTGTGATTCAGGTGTTCAGTGCTTCATGCTTTTTGTGTTTGTGTTCGTTTATAATTTGTGGTTGTGGAAATGTATGTAGTAGTACCTTCAAATACCACAGGGACATCATTTACTAATAAAATCCAAACAAAAACAATAAAAACAACAACAACAACAACAACACAGAATGACTAAAACATTTATTTGAATAATCAATATATTACAACTATGTTTCAAATACAGCCTCTTTTTGCTAAAGGTAGGTAACGGTAACTTGGTGCTTGTAGCGAGTTACCTCGTCAGTCACTCGCGTCAAACACGTCAGTCGAACTGTTCGACTGATGTCTCCAGCGATATAAGTTGCTGTACTGTCATACTATTTCGTTGTTTTTCGGGTTGCCCACTGACCGTTCTCGCAATAGACGCATACTCAGGTTAGAATAAAAAAACCAAGGCCGTTTAAGCGGTGTTGTACACATTACTTTTTAAAAATAACGAGATACTCGTTACTTGACCTTAAAAGTAACTAAACACGTTACTTGTTACGTAATATATTAACTGGGTTAAAGTTATTCGTTGCTTGTAACGCGTTACGTAAATGTCTGGTCGAGGCTGTAGTTTCCGGTCGAGGGAGTTGACGTTGACGCACGAGCCATCGCGCAGTGGGAGGACCAATGAGTCACCGGTATCGCGTGCATAGCACGTGGACACACATTCTGAGGTGACGCTCGGGAAGGCACAGAAGGGCAGGGAGCAGCACACGTGCTGCTCCCTGCCCTACTGTGCCTTCCGAGGAAAACACCTGCATAGCGAAAACGAGTCGATGAGTGGACTGTGTCGCAGCACAGCCGCCGAGCCTACGCCACGTGTCGGCATTTTACTTACATTTGAACTACTACAGAATGCGATTAATACATGTCTGCATTTTAATTACAATCCGTGTCTTTTTTTTTGCAATTTTTATTGTAAAATTACATTCGCGTGGCAAAATATGAAGACAACTCGCCGTCCACCGCCAGGCTTATTTTGCTATATAATACAACGCAAGCTCGGCGAAAGCACACGGGCACTATCAGACTCCAGCCAAGACCCTCCAAAGAAACCAACCTACTGAAAACCATGACGACTCTGGTGAGATGCATCAGCTTTGTATATTCTGCTTTGTAACTTATATCCGATGTTTTAAACTATTTTATTTATTGATGCAAAACTTTTTTTTGTATTTTTGAACGACACGTTTTAACATACATTTTTATATACTGAATGGAACATTAAGTATAAGGATTTTGAAAGATATGGAATAACAACGCAGATATGCCACTTCAGTTTATCATTACAATTTAATTGAAAAGACTCTAAATACACCCTCTGGCGAAGAATGATCCTAAAATTGGTGTAAAAATACAGATGTCATGTCGCAATTTACAAGCGTTGAGAGCCTCAAAATGCCATATTGAAGTTCGGCTGTTACGTATACGTGGGGAAATAGACTATGAACGTTTTTATATTACATACTTACTTAGGATAAGTTGAGATATTCTTATAGAAGCATTTAATCTAAAAAAAATGCTATTTGTCTGCTTATAGTGACAATAAACCATATATTATTTTCTTTTAGACATGATGGGAGACCGCTCGAATATATCTAACCAAACACAATCCACTCTCCCAAGCAGCATAAAAAATAGAAAAAGATCAATCTCAATCCTCTCTTTTTCCGTGAGTGGACGATGGTTTAGCAACTTTACACAATAAATAAATGTTGAGTATCTTTTTTTCAAAGTTTATGGTAGACAAGGTACATTTCTTATCAGATATAGGCAGGATTTCGTTTTCTAAATTTATTCCTCGTGAAATTAGGGGCTTGTTTTTCGGAGTTTATTTCACGCTAAAAAGTCTGGGCTTATCGGAGTTTATTTTTGTTACTTTTTTCAATTCTCTGACATTCGGAGCTTAATTTTACTGAGTTGTCATTTTTATCCAAATTCAAAACAAAGATTTAAAGTCCGGACATTAACGTTCATCAGAACTCACCTTTATCGAATGGTATTTAGTCAGCTGTATTTGGCATTGGCGCATTACTATTGGCAATGCTAACTATCCCACGACAGATGTTGCAAAAAAAGTGTTGCTTCAATTATTAGTCGATACTTTGAAAAAACTAAACTCCTGAACGTAGTCGCGGGGAGGTATGGGAGCTTCAGCTGCACTCTCCCTCCATTGAAATAGGCGGGTTCATAGCTATCACTTAAGAAACAAATGTACCCCTTGTTCCTCTATGGAGCACACAAATAGTGTGGCCCAGACTAGAAGTTTAAACAATGGTTTTGGTCGTGACAAAGACAACAAACTTCAACGAGCTAAAAGTTAACCCATTTTCGTCAGTGGTCCAAGACTAAAAAGGAAACTAACACGCTCCTCTCAACAGTGACCTTGTGATTTTATAAAATGTATTTGTAAAATTCCTCCTTTCTTTTATTTTCATCTTTCCGTTGTGAACTGGAATTTCGGACTTTTCTTGAGGGCAATTTGGCGGCGAACGTTTTCTTCGGATTTATCCGATAACACGGAACCTTAGTTAGAGAAATACGCACAAAAAATGTACACTTAAATATTATCGCGCGTCGACCATCTCTTTAGAGATTTCAACACATAAAAGGCAAACGTTCACATAAAAACATACGGTATAAAGTGGGATCTGCTGGGTCGTGTGCACGCTGACCTTTGAACGTGTATTGCTGACCATTGCCTAAAGTGTTAGTTGGTGAGTATCACTGTTGCACACGTTCTTCAAGAACGGGAATAAAATCACGTTCCTCGTTCCTTCTGAATCGTGGAACGTGTTCCCGTCACAAGTTCCAGGGGTTCGCAAAGGAACACGCTGCCGTCCCATTCGTAAGATTCGAACGTGTTGTTGAATTAATGGTACATTTGCTTATTTTTATTAAATATTGTGCAGGATAATCCAGACATGAAATAAATAAATCAAACGAAAATATTCACATAAAACTACGTGTCCAGTTGGGACGATCACAATTGTTCCCGTTTTTGTTTTTCAGGTGATCCCTCGGAAACTTCCCCATCCCTTGAAATAAGAGGTTGAAATGGACGATAATAAAAGGCCTAAACGCCTAATAAAGCGGAGTAAATTTGCATTTAACTACATAAATAAATAAGAAACGCCGTTCCTGCTGCCGTTTTCTCGAAAATGTAGCGAGTTTTCGTCCCTGTTCCACCGATGCAAGATGGAACAGCGGCGTTCCTCCTAAGAGGAATGCGTTCCGGGAACGTGGTTCTGTAGAACACTTGTGCATTTTTAAATAGATAATAAAATAGCGCGAAAAAAAATAGAGACAAGAAACTAGACAGTGCAGCTGTCCCTTTTGTTCATTCCCTTGTCTTTGTTCATTTTGCGCTATTTCATTTGTACCTCATTATTCATTATGCGTGTCTCTACAAGTCAATATTGTTACGGAGTAAAGCTGTTTCACATGTTGCGATTCGAAGTAAATGGGCGATTAAAATCACAGTCGCACTGTCGCAGCGGCTTTGCAGCTGGTTTCCACCAAGTTGGTATTTTTCCGCAGACTCGGTGCCATCGCTTTCTCGTCAACCAGCCGTCCATTAGCCACCTTTCATCCGCGATAGCTCCAAGTTTTGGTCTAATGTTTAATGATTAGACATTTCTAGTTACATGTAATATTCGTGAAACATTCGTGCTTATTACGACTTCTTTAGGTTGTTTTACGCAAAGTGATACTCGTCGCGTTCGTGTCCAATGCAACTAGAAGAGCGGGCCGCGGCTACAGAAATCGCGCGATTGTTGGAGCATGTGAAACCAAACGTTGCGATCGCACTCGGTGCGCCGGATGTAGCACTGAGTGTTTTTTGCACAGTCGCTGCATGTGAAACAGGGTTAAGGCGAAGAGGCGATAACTAATTAACCGAAAAGAAAGGTTTAATTGGCAAACTGGTTCCAAGCAAAACAAAGAACAAGCGTACAGACAGCAGAAAAGCGGGCGGCGATTTGGCGGCTAACAGGAAGCGAGGGCGAGACTGACTCTCCAAGGTCGCGGGTAGCTCCTTATCTAGTGTGCTTCGGCATCGCGAAAATTCGGCCCAGAAGGTTCGAGCACCGGGCGTTCGGGTCTAGAATGTACAGGCACTTCGAGAACAAGGAACTAAGACGAAATGATAAAAGTCACGCCCCAAGTAAAAGAAACGCGAGTCTTCAAGTATTCCGTGACCGAGCGCTGCTTGTTCGACGCTACGCGTAGAGATATCCGCCCGAACATTTTTTTTAATCGCATACGAAAATAAATAACGGCCACTGTATGCAAATATGTTGACTTGGATTTCAGTTTAAAAACGTCGCATTGAAACTTGCTAAACTTATCATGGAATTCTCCTGCAGCTTCGTCTGACTATCCTCATCGTGGCTGTTGCCGGCGTACTCGGAGGCTCCAAAAGGGCGGCTAGGGCGGCTACGCCAGCTACGGCGGCTACACCGGCGACGCCGGCTACGGCGGCCACGCCAGCTACGCCAGCTAGGAAGGCTAGGGCGGCTACGCCGGCAACGGCGGCTACACCGGCTACGGCGGCTACTCCGGCAACGGCGGCCACGCCGGCGACGGCGGCTACGCCGGCTACGGCGGCTACTCCGGCAACGGCGGCTACGCCGGCTACGGCGGCCACGCCGGCTACGGCGGCTACGCCAGCTAGGAAGGCTAGGGCGGCTACGCCGGCGACGGCGGCTACACCGGCCACGCCGGCTACGGCGGCTACGCCCGCTAGGAAGGCTAGGGCGGCTACGCCGGCTACGGCGGCTACACCGGCCACGCCGGCTACGGCGGCTACGCCAGCTAGGAAGGCTAGGGCGGCTACGCCGGCTACGGCGGCTACGCCGGCTACGGCGGCTACGCCGGCTACTGCAGCTACGCCAGCTAGAAAGGCTAGGGCGGCTACGCCAGCTACGGCGGCTACGGCGGCCACGCCCGCCACGGCGGCTACGGCGGCTGCGTAGCCGGGCGCCTAAGGCGCCTCCAGGCTCGGATACGGAAGCAGTCTGAGCCATGGAGGACTGTGCAGCGGACACGGCGGGCACGGATCCTACGGCGGACACGGAAGCTTCTATGGTTGAAATCCAGATGGAAACGCGGGAATAAATAACGTTTCCGTTTCTAACAATGGTTTTGATCTCATTTTACTCACCACTACACTTCTAGAGTTTACCGATACGGCCATGTTACGGTTTCAACGAGCAGATTGCCTTATGGAAGTTGCAAATTTGCCCTAGGCTTCACGCACCCATAAATACGATGTAACAATTTTTTAGTTTTATAACTCCGTGAAAATATCCTTGCACTGTTCCAGCTGTAGATCGCATCACCACAGTGACTTTTAAACCAAGTCGGTGCCCCTTTTACGGACGCAACTTAACCCAAGCCAGGCTGCTCGAGCGACGTCCATGGGATATCCATAGCATGTTGTACCATAAATTGCACGTCCGCAGGGCACATTTCCTTTAGGAGAATGATTGAGAATGACCTTTTACTCCAGTTGTTTTGCGCCACCTTTTGGTGAACCGGGAAGCTTGTTCTCGATGACCTTCTGCAAAACCTGAAAGATCACGCATCTGTTGTTTTTGGTTTTTCAATAGACGAAGACACAATAATGTGGACGGTTGGAGCACGATACTCGTGGCCAGTAGGACGTTATTACCACTGGCTGCTGATGACGACGCGTAAGCACGTCACGGAACATGGTCAAATTCAATCTGCTACAACTACGCATAAATAAAAAAAACACAGGCAAACATTTTCTCGAATATGAAATATAAGGTCTACAAATCTATCTTCTTACTTTCGATGTCCAGGCTTCTCGGAGCATTTATTACTTCCTAAAAAAAGTGATCGATCCAACGTTTTGTTTTAGGATCCCGAAGCTAACATTGGGGTCACCATGAACTTAACAGCCCTTTTTTACCTAAAGCCTCTGATCACATACGAACTTGTTTGCAGTATATTGTTCTGTAACCCTGTCAGTTTGCAAAATCTATTTGTTTTACCGGATTTACTCGAGAGATTGGTGCACTGTTTATTAACAAATCCAGCGCGTGCACTTTCTCGCGCATCACTCTGATTACCAATTAGAGATAACACCTTCAGGTGAAAATTTTGCCTTCGCTGATAAAAATATTGATAAATATCGTATTCTCGGAATTTGTATTCGCTTCGCTTCTCATGTAGAATGCAATGATTGGTTATGTGTTGGTTATGTGTTATTGGTTACAACGTACGTTACACCACACTAGAAGGTTCCACATTATATATGCTAATTTTTGTAAGAAAATGTTTATAAAGACAATGGGAACGCGACAGAACAGCACACGACTAAACAGCACGCGACAAAACCGCACGGTCAGAACAGCACGAGTCAAAACAGCGCAGCGTCAAAACAGCACGCGACAAAACAGCACAGTGACACAACATCACCTATGTAGCAACTTCGAGCGCGCTCTTCACCTCTCTCTGCGCGAATAATTTCGAACCTCCTTGACCCTTTCATTTTTTGGCGCTAGGTTATAAAGTATGGGGGGACATACTTGAAGAGATTGGGTAGTTAGAGGTGATATCTTCGCGTCGATGTTGGCCCCGTTGTCTGGTCTTTTTTGTAGGACTAGCGAAAGCGGAAAAGTTATTGGGAAAAAGAAATCCATAAGTTAAAGTTATGAACCGTCTGGTTTGCGGCGCTCCGGTAAGGTTCCGTAGTACTCATCTAAGCGTAGAACGCCCCCCCTTCCCCCCCCCCCCCCCGCCAAAAGAAAATAAAAAAAAAAGAAAGAAAAGCGGGAGATGCGTTGTTTACAGATGCATTGATAGAACCGGTAAGATAATGCCGAGCGTATTCAAGGTGTACCATGGGCACCGATTCTGCGCGGTTCATTCCCCGTGAATAAAATGTCCAGGAAACACGCGGCTGCAGCTTCCAGGCGATAAGTCGTTTTGAATTAAATTCACAGATTATTTCCGACAAAGGCCTCGATCGAGGGAAAACCGGTGAAGCAGAAATATGCCACAGCCTCAATGCTGCTGCCGTACAGCATGGGCTGAGCACAGTGTTGCCGCACACGCTGTTTTTTTTTTCTTTTTACAACTAACGACAACACATCCCGTCCGAATCATTCGTTTTTTGTTTTTTTTGTTTTCTTTTGTGGACGACATTGCTAGCAAACTTGCGGGTCAAAATTAGCAGATATGCCCGAAAAATAGCCAGAATACGCATAAGCAAAGGTTTCGGTGCTGCCCAGGGAGCCGTCATGTGCCCATCGAGTATACTCCCCACTCCGCACTTGCTCCCAAGAAAACGGATTTGACAAATTGGCCCTCGACGAGTTGGCTTTCGACAAATTGGCTTAGACCCTCCATTCCTTCACAGTGCCTACTTTCAGACATACGCTTTTTAACTACATACGCTATAATTAGGGTTCAGCGTTTTCGGCTTAAACCGGATAAAACCGGTAAAAATACGCCGAATTAATTTTTTTCGAATTCGGTTTTAACTGAAATAGGTCAGTATTTTCCAGGGAGTTCGGAGAGGCAGAGGGGGGGAAGGGGGGGGGGGTATGACTCATTACTGACCGTATGCCACTTCCTTTCGCAGTTTTCAGCTTGTCTTCGAGATCGGTTCAATGTTCAACAAAAGCTCCGGGGACCCAGGGGTCTTCAGGACGAAATCTGGGTTTTTCACCTGATATGAATTTGTGTGCGCAATTCTTTGTTCAAAGAAGAGAATTTAATCGTGAACTGAACAATGAAAATCAAGGACGTCCGTAAGTGCCGCACATCTTTAACACGCTGTAGCTTCCGTCTACTAGAAGAGGGAATATATACGGTTGTTTTATTGTCGTTTCTGTGGTCGGCGCGAATTCACCACGCCTCGCAGTCCTAGAAATGGGGAAAAAACGCATTAAGTACAATGCTTGCAAATTTCTGGATTTTGATATTTGCCTCTCCGACCTAAGTGGTAGTGAACCTCATGTTCGTCCAGTGTGCGTACAAATACGAGAACACGACGATAATGTCAGATCGCGATAGGTCCCAGTGCGCATGCAGAACAGGTCACGTCGGCTGCCACGACAGCAATGAATAAGAAAATCAATACCTGGTTGACTCACTATACATTTTAAACAAACGCTTTTAAATACTGAATTCTCGTCAAATATACTGGTTTTCGTCAATAGACCGAAAAGAACCGAGAATTTTATGAGTCTACAAATATTCACCGCAATAAACCGAATATTTCTGTTTGGAATAAACACCGGAAAAAGGTACGCCGAATTTAGAAATAATAAAAACCTAAAATGCCAAACCCTAGCTATATTGTCAATGTCCTGTTCTGACACAGTGCTGCTCTAACGCTGTGCTGTTTTCACGCCGTGCTGTTTTGGCACGTGCTCTTCTGTCGCTGTGCCGTTTTGACACTGTGCTGTTTTGACATGTGCTGTTTTGACCGTGCTGTTTTGTGGCATGCTGACGCCATTTTTAGAGTTTTACTACTACTAAGCCGCCCGTCTACTCTTTTGAGATGAGGCAGCACCCGATGGCAAGAATATCTTTCCCAGGAAAACATAAGCGTCTAAAAAAAATAGTAGGTACATGCCGATATGTGAACACCTTGGGAATCGTGCGTATTCTTCATACTAATGGTATAACTTAAAATGAAATCAAGCAGAGGAGGGCAGGTCGACATTTTTAATGTAAGTAAGAAGTTTATGTGTAACTGCACATCTACAGGGTGTTCTCGAGCGCTATATGGGCGTTTAACAAACTCGTATAAACAAGCCAGTAAAGAAAGTGCCATGTAACTTCCCGCAAAGCTATTTATAGGTGATGTATTGATTAAACTAAAATTTCGTGAGTGTAGGCTTTTGGGAAAAGAATGCAAGAAAAGAAATACTTGTTACTTTCAGTGCGCGGGAGGAAAACTGAAGCAAACCGTCGGGTTGACGTTGCTACTCACATTAGGTACGACATGGTACATACACTTAAAAAATTCTTAAATTTTTCAGTGTATGCACCCTGAAGCAGATCTAGCACATATGGTATTTGCAGCCTCAACCCGCCCGTTTGCTTTTGTTTTCTTTTTTATTTTTATTAGCGGGCACAATGATCAGGGTACGGAGCAACGACGGCTAAAGTGACATCAATCCGTGTCATGTATGCGTATTTGAGAAACAATCTAGGGGTGTATCTGTGCCTGCTTCCAGATTATTAATTAATGATTGGATGAAAAAAAATTTAGCTGTCATTCATCTCCACTTGATTCCGTTCTTGTGATTAAGTTTAAGTTTATGTATGACATATTTTTTAAGATATTGATAAAGAAAAACGAAAGTATTAACAAACAAGGTTGTTATAATGTTAATTTTCATTCGGTCTAATGTGCAGCTCTTGGGCAATGCCATAGTGGGCTAACCAGCATCAAGATTTTACGGACGTAACAATCTACGCGTCACATAAATTATTCGCATATTTCTGCAAGTCAGCTATTAGTTTCATTTTAGAATCAACAATATCTGCAAACTGTGAAAAGTATGAAGGCCAGTACTTGAATGGGAGATTGAAAACAATTTTTGTGAATGTCTTTCCGTTTTTAAATGGCATAATTAGAGAGATCTACCGGCGCACTCTGAACATATCTCCTAAAAACACTGAAATCAAGCACTCACCCTTTAAACTTTGTAAGTGGTCAGTACTAAGAACAACGTAAGAGGCATTGTTGAATCAGAGTTACCTGACTATTTTGATACATCATAACTAAAGTTCTGCATTTTCGTATAAATCCGATAAAAAAACACACACGCACACACACTCACAGTTGCCGGTTAATTTTTCGTTACTTTTATTTTATCCAAAAAAATTAGAATTTCAAAATTACGAGAAAAAAAAGAGAAAAAACTAAGTTTCGTGAGAGCACAGCGTCAGTGGTTCCGAGGAGAGGCTACTTCAGTTTTCTTTTAAATTTCGGGCCATTGTCCAGAGGGGGTTTACCGTACATCTTGTCAATGTTCGTTCAGGAAAGCGTGCCCTTT